CGAAAAAACACGCTCCATTTCTAAACTAGAGGATGGATCAGGCGTGGGTAGGTCGGCGGCAGGATGTGGAATTGTTTAGTCATGGTATACGGTTGCGTGTAACAGTACGAGACTATTGCCGGGGGGGGACTGCTGAGTGCGACGAATACAGTGGAGGCCCATGCCAAGAAGCACCTTGCTTGCCTTCAGGGTGCCTTGTTTTTTGAGGGGATTCCATGGCTTGGCGATGGACAGCGCGACGTTCCCACACCAAAGATCAGTGGACGTCCTGGGGTCTCAGGGCTTGGTTTCTTGTGGAAGGTTTCTGGAGGTCAGACCTCCATTTTTACTGGGTGTGTAAGAAGCTGCCCGACTGCATCCACGCGCGGTCATTTACACCCAGGCGTCTGGCAAGTATTATTGCGCCCCTCCCCGTGGGAACCGCATCAGACCCACTGCTCCGACTCACAGAGACATCCCTCCCGGACGCCCTCGAAGAGTGCTCCCCCCCCCCGCGGTCGGCCAGGAGGCTGGCCAGCGGCCGCAGCCCGCCCCGGGGCCAATGCCCGGCGGACGCGGGCGGCCGCGGCTGGCCGCGTTGGCCGCGAGGGGGCGGCGGCGGCGTTGGCGGTGACGGCGGCCCGCCGCGTTGGCGGCGACGACGGCCTCTTTTGTCGAGAGCGGCGAAGAGAGTGTTTTCGTCACCTTCTGGGCCATAACACACGTTAGGCCCCCCCCCTCTCCCCCCTCCCCTCCCGTCCCCCACCCAAAGCAGCACGCGCTGCCCCCCTCCCCCCCCCCCCCCAGAGCGCCCCTGGCATTGCCGCAGTGCTGCGTCTGGAGAACAGGCTGTAGTGACTGTAGTGCCGCACCCACACGGCGGGGGGGGGGAGTACGTTATTATGCCCCCCCCCGCGCCCCCCGCCCCCCCATAGATGACGCCCGCTGTCCCCGTGGAAGAAAACATGTTTTCGAACACATCCGTATCCGCGCCCTCGCGGTTTCGATTCCTGGGCGCGATCCTGGAAATACGCGGTCGCACGGGTGCGGTCTGCGTGGGGCATCCGCGACAAAGTTCTCCGTATCTGCGGGGTCGCGGCCCAGGGGCCTGGCCCACGAGGCCGCAGATACGGATATGTTTTTCGCAAGCGTTTTTCCTACGTTCGGCAATATTTGGGCGGCGATAAATGGGGGGTAGCGAGGGCTGCAGAAAAACTGCCCTTCAGGGCCCCTGAATGGGGGCCGTTTGGGGTTAAAGGGGCCCGACAAGGGCCCTTATGAAGCGACGCGTGCTCTCATTGCACAGTCGTCCCCGGCAGGGGACGGGGAGGGGGTTGGTCGGAGGTGGGTAGACCTCCTACCCTGACACGTCGATTGGCGAATGGGCCGTTTTCCGTTCGCGAGACGGCGTCGCGGCCGTCATTTTTGCGGGTCCAGCTCCGTCGGTTTCGGTCCCAGGCCGTTTTCATTGAGGGGAGGCTTGCTAAAGGGAGGTCTGTCCGCCGCCGAGCTGGGAAGGGAAGATTCCGCCTTCCCTTCCCAACCCCTCCATTGGATTCATTATTGTAGGTGATAATAGTAAAGGTCCACTATTATTGGGATTTTTTGATTCTTATCATTCTTATTATCATTCTTTTTATTGTTATAATTCTAAATCGTATTATTAGTACTCTTATTTTTCTTCGTACTTGTTTTATTTATCATTATTATTATTATTATTATTATTATTAGTATTATTATTATTAGTAGTAGTAGTATTATTATTATCGTTATTATTATTAGCATTGTTGTTTTTATTATTTTTAATATTTTTAGTTTTCTTAGTATTATTGTTCTTGTTGTTCTGATTTCCCCGCCCAGCTCGATCGCTGCCTTCCTCAGCCGCAGACTCCGGCGTCCTGCTCTCGCCTCCCCCGCCGGCTGTGCGCGCCGCGCGGTCCTGATGCCCTCCGGCCCTCGGCACGCGCAGCTCGCTGCTCAGGAGGAGAAAAAACACCCAGACACAATGAATCGTCGACTCCCCCGAGAAACGATGGGGAAACATATGGGCGGTGGGGGGGAAGGCAGAAGCCCAGAACATATGGAAAATATGCAGGGGAACCGTTTTACTTGTGTGAATTTATCTGTGGGGCCTCTTGGCAGCCTCTTGGGCCGTTTTGGGGGCCTCTTGGCAGCCTCCTGGGCCGTCTTGGGGCGGTCTTTTGGGGCCCTCTTGGAGCGTCTTCAGCGCCGTGAGAGCCGAAAAGCCGTGCATGCTGAAAATGTACTTGTTCCTATAAGAAAACAATGCTTTTGGCCTCCTGGGGGCCGCCCTTCGGCCCTCGGCCCCCGAAGAGATGGGAAACCATGAGCAGTGGGGGGGAAGACAGAAACCCCAAAAGTATGGGAAAATACAGGGGCGCCTTTGTATTTGTGTGTGTTTACTCGTGTGTCCCAGGGCCCCTTCGGCTGCGCGGCACGCGGCCGTGCGCTCGGCTCGCCCCCTTTGCGCGGCCCGCGGGCCGGCGCGCGCCAGACGCCCGGCGCGCGTGCGGCGGCCCGCGTGCGGGGCGCCGGCGCGGCCGGCCTCTGCCCCTCCGTCTCGGAGGCTGGCAGGCCTCCTGCCCCGACGCGTCTTCCTCCTCCTCCTCCTCCTCCTCCTCCTCCTCCTCCTCCTCCTCCTCCTCCTCCTCCTCCTCCTCCTCCTCCTCCTCCTCCTCCTCCTCCTCCTCCTCCTCATTCACCACCCTCCTCCTCCTCCTCCTCCTCCTCCTCCTCCTCCTCCTCCTCCTCCTCCTCCTCCTCCTCCTCCTCCTCCTCCTCCTCCTCCTCCTCCTCCTCCTCCTCCTCCCCATCCGGGACCGAAGGCGGTCAAAACGTGCTTTTGACGGGTGCCCCCGCGTCCCTCCAACGCCAACGCAGGCCTCTCGAGTGGCGGATGGGCCGTTTTTGTGGGTTCGCGAGAGAGGGCGTCGCGGCCGTCGTTCATGGCGGGTCCAGGTCCGTCGGTGTCGGTGCTGGGCCGCTTTCATTGAGAAGGGAGGTTTGGGAGAAGGGAGGTTTGTCCACCGCCGATCCTCCCGCTGCAGGGAGTTTCGAGGGAGCCACGGGTGCAATGGTGAACTGGTAGATTGCAGCGCAGTCTCTGTTGAACTCCACGAGAGAGGCGGGTGCGAGCATTCATTGTTTGTGATGGTGCGCAGGATGTTGGTCTTGGAGTTCCATGCGAGGCGTGCGAGTGAGTGTGGGTGCGAGGGGGAGGAGGAAGAAAAGGAGGAGGAGCCAGCGGATGGGGGAGGGCAGACCAGGAATGCTGGTGTTCGGGACCTTGACGACGTCAGAACAACCACAGCCGTCGCCAGTGTGAGATGGGGGCCACAGGCCCCTATGAAAGGCCTTCCTATGAGTATCCCCTCCTAGTACAGTCGGGGCCTTGAAGAAGGAACGCTTTTCGTTGGGGAGGGGCTCGGTGTTCCTTGATTGTTCTGCAGTTTGCCTCGGGTTCTCCCGAGGTTTTCGATGGGCAATCCAAGCTTGACTCATGGACAGAAGGGGCCTCGTTCCTTAGTTTGGGCTCCTTAGGCCAAGCCCCCGACTGTATAACTGTATAGGTGCTGTTCCTCCCCCCCCCCCAGTCCCTGACCCCCAGAGGTCCCCAGAGGGCCCCGGAGGCCCGACGAGGGCCCAGAGCGTCCAAGAAGCGTCTGGAAACGGCGGCCGGGAGCCCCTTCTTTCGATCCTCGAGGAGGGCCGGGGGGCACAGCTCAGCACCTGTCGGGGGAGCGTAAGACCCGGGTTTGCCAGGACTCGGGTTCGCCATCATTTTTTGACGACCGCGATTCGGATTTTGACGAGTAGGAGTTTCGTGGGATGTCTGCAGCGGGAGGCCTCGTCAAAATGCAGGCTCGGCCTCGTCATTTTTGTTGACGACCTCGTCGGGGATTTCCGAGTCCCCTGTACCCAGGTCTTACGTCCCCCTGAACCTGGCTCGCAGGCCTCGGCCCCAGGACGAGGATGAGGCTGCGACATGGCGGCGGCGCCGCCGGTCGCCTCGCGCTGCGCGCGAGGGGCCGGGCCGACCCGAGAGGGGGTCCAGCGACGAGGGCGTGGTGCACTAGGTTTGGTGCAATTTCAGAGCGGGAATGGCCTACCCCGCTTTCGCTTCCGGCCAAAACCAGGTCATGCCACGCGCCTCCTCGTCAAGCGGCCTGACCAGTACAGGCAGTAGTTTGGCATCGTTTGGTCTCTCTTGGAAGCGGGGGTGGTCAACAGCGAGGTAGGTTTGTTTTCCCCCTGGCAATCGATTTGTGGGGCTGCCATACATTTGGGGCGTGCAGTGCGTTCCGGGGCGCAAATGTACTGCTGGACTTTCGCGTGCAACACACATTAGTTGCACTACGATGCAATCCAGTTCTCTGGCGCAATATACGTTTGCAATGCACCTGCCCCGAATCTGTGGCACCGCCCCCTTGCAGCTGGACCCCCTCGTGGGCCACCCCAGAAGGAGGGGGGAGCGCCGCACACTTCTCCCGGGGGAGGGCGGCGAGCAGAGCATGTTCCACGGGCTGCACAAGTGAGCCGCCGCCCCGCCCCGCCCGCCCGCCCGCGGTGGCGCCCTCCCCCACGGAGGTCCGGCGAACCTGCACAGCGTCGCGCCCCCCGATTCCCTCGTCTCGGAAGTTGGGCTCAAACGACGCGAAGATCGGGACAAACTCGGATCGGGATGTTTCGAAATCTCTGAGAATCGGCGGGTTTGGGAGATGTATTGGGCGCCGCGGCCGCTCCAGAGCGTTCCAGAACGCTCTGAGAGCGCTCCAGAACGCTCTGGAGCGATTTATCCCGATCCTAGCCCTGTTTTATCCCTCTCTCGGAAGCTGGGCGAGGGCTGGCAGATCCGTGGCCGCTAAAACGGCCTTCCCGGAAGAATATCGGAGGTGGATCGACATCCTCTACCCTGACACGTCGATTAGGGAATTGGCCGTTTTCGGTTCGCGAGAGGGCGTCGCGGCCGTCATTTTTGCGGGTCCAGGTCCGTCGGTTTCGGTCCCAGGCCGTTGTCATTGAGGGGAGGTTTGCTAAAGGGAGGCTTGTCCACCGCCGAGGAAAAAGCATATTCTTGGAATAGAGCTCAGCGCATTAAGTGGTAAACAGGCGGCTTCCCGGAAGAATATCAACAGTTTCCCAGAGCTCCGTTTTAGCAGCCACGGGTTTGCCAGCCTTCGCCCGGCTTCTGACTCTCACGCCACGGAGGATGTCGGGGACACTCGTCTCGACGATCAAAGTGGGCACGGAGAGAACGGGCACGCATTTCGACAGCGACTCTTGCCCATCTTGAGCAGGACGCGCTGTCGGTGCCACCGCGGACGGCATCCATTTGACACAGGAGGATGCCTGCTGAAAAACTGGCCGCTATCGTTGAATCTGGCCTGTCCCTCTACAGGGGGAATATTCAAAAAGAGTCCAGCAATAGTAGTATGGGGACGACTTGTTTTGGCATGTTTGACCGTGTTTCAGCATGTGCAGGGTTCCGTGCTTCACTTCTCGCCCACCGCCCGCCTGTGAGGGGGAACGCGCCCGACCCAACGCTGGCGGTTCTGGACACCACCTGCTGCTGGGCCTCGTGGCCGTGGGCTCCCGTGCCCCGCTGCGGGCGCCCCGAGCTCGCACCCCCCGGACCTCCGCGCGTCGTGCGGGGCAGCCCTCCCGGCCTCGGGGGGCCGCCGTCGGGCCCTTGAGGTTCAGTGGGGCCTGGTCCTCTCCAGGGGGGGCATGCAAAGATCGTCCAGAAAATCGTGAGGGGACGGTTTTTCGATTATGTTTGGCCCTTTTTGAATCTAGTCCAGAAAATCGTGAGGGGACGATTTTTGGTGATTCTTGAATTTTTAGCTACTTTTAAGTTTTCGCCCAAAATCCCCCTGTAGGAGAACACCCCCCGACCTAAGCCTGGGGCCGTCAAGTCAATTTTCTGGATGAGAAGCCCGTCGGGGGTGAGGGGTCCAGACTTCCTCTGGAGGGCCACATTACAGTCACGATGTTGCAGGTCTGGGAACTGAGGTCAGCGCCGACGGGGCAGCCCTGAACAGAACTACGACACCCATCTCCCTTTCCCGCTCTCAAGGAATGAGTGAGATTGGTCGTCGCCGACACTGGTCAGCGCTGACGGGGGTGAGCCAATCTCGTCCGACTCTTCCTGGCTGACACAGGTTTGGGAGCCATGTGAGCGACGGAAAAAAAACGGGGTCGTCTGCGCCGACATTGGCGCGTGAGCTGATCACGCGAGCTCTCGCGGGAGCGCCCTCGCTCCAAAAGTGGCGTGCCGCGCGGGCCGCCCGCGTAAGCCGCCGCATAAGGTCGCTGGGCCATCCCGCGGAAGACCCGTTTTTGATTGTCGTTCATGTGGGACGTTCCAGAAAGGGCCTCGCCTTCGAGGATAGAAAGAGGTGTCATCTCTTCCTCGGCGGAAGGTCGGCGGAAGTAAAACGAGGCCGCATCCGCCGGCGGAAGCCGGCGGAAGCTCGGCGGAAGGCGGCGGAAGTAAAACATGTGCCCCTAAGAGATGAAAAGGCTTTTGGGCTCAGGGTTTCCGAAATCGCCCATGTCCCCCGCCGTCCAGCCCCTCCGCCGACCCCGGCTTGGGAGCTGCTGCGCGGCCTGACGGTGCTCGCGGCATGGCCCTGGCCGGCCCAGGGGCAGCGCGCCCCCGAGGAAAGAGGTCGGTCCTGAGGGGGGACGGCTCCTGGATCCCAGGGCGTTCCCCGGCCTCCTCCTCCTCCTCCTCCTTCCTCCTCCTCCCTCCTCCTCCTCCTCCTCCTCCTCCTCCTCCTCCTCCTCCTCCTCCTCCTCCTCCTCCTCCTCCTCCTCCTCCTCCTCCCTCCTCCTAGAAGTACCTGGACGGGGTTTTCCCCCAACAACAGCATCTCCATCTACCACTCCCCGAAGTTCAAGATCTTCAAGATGCTGCCCGACTCTCCGGTGACTCGGCCCCTGGTCCCGACGGCCTTCCCTACCGTGCTTGGACCAACTCGCCTGGCAGCATCGAAGCACTACACAAGCTCATGCAACACATGGCCGACGGAGGCGCTGCTCCACACGACCTGAACTACGCGATGATGGCTATGCTCCCCAAGGGCGATGAGCCGCTCGGAAACTTCGAATGCACCAGGAGCCCCGACTGCCTTCGCCCGCTGGCCATGAAGAACAGCGACGTGAAGCTTATCGCGTCAGCCATCAACCGCAGGCTACACCGCGTCGCCGCCAAGACGACCAAGGAGCAGCAGGGCTTCGTCACCGGCAGGCAGTTTCTCAACAACGTGCTGGTAGACTCCGTCGCCCGCAAACTCAGCATCACCGAGGACGCCGAGCAGCTCATGCCGTGCTTCGCCAGCATGGACATCGCGGCGGCCTTCCCCAGTCTGAAACACGACTGGCTCTGGAAGGTTCTCGGCAGATGGGGCTTCCACAGCCAGGTCCTCACGCTGCTGAAAGCATGCTGCGAGATGCCCCATAGCCTTCCTCGAGATGGGTGACACACGGCGCCCGCTCTTGATCGCTACCCCGGGCGTCGCCCAAGGCTGCCCGCTGAGCGGTACGCTCTGGGCTTTCGTCTTCGACCCCTTCATTCGCGGCGTCAAGCACGAGCTCGAGCGCATCGGCCGCGGTCTCATCAGCGCCTGTGCTGACGACCTCGGCATCATCCTGGCCGCGCTACACGACATCGAAAAAAACTATTCCCTCATCTGCAAGCTGCCGATCTATTCGCTGGCCTCCGCCTACAAGCCAAGAAATGCATCATCGTCCCTACCTGGTCTTTACCAACGCCTGCCATCACACGCACGATACAGACCACACTCGCCACCATCCACGCCCCGTGGAAGGACTTCAAGATCTCGAGCTTCGCGCGGTACCTGGGCGCCCGCATTGGCCCTGGAGCTTCGTTATCTACTCAGTGGAAAGGCCCCGCAGGCAAGTGGCGGGACCGCATCCAGATTCTCGCCGAGGCGAGGTCTCCGCCGCAGCAAAGCATCAAGCTGTACAACGACTCCGCCGTCACCTGCCTCTCGTACACCGGCCAGCTCTACCCACCTTCGCCCTGCTTTCTCGCCAAAGAAATTCACGGATTGCACAAGATCATTCGAGCTGCACCCTCGAGCTTCACCAAGATGGACATCTTCTCGTTCAAGCGCTGGGCGGGTGCGGAAATGCCCCAAGGGCTGGAAACGCTGCTGGCTGCTACTATGTGGAGGACGGCTACTAAAACTCTGACCTCCTGGCCTGCTCTTCTTTGTGACCATCGGGAGGTTGCGGAAGATCGTCTTCCCATATGCCAAGTTATCGAAGGTGCATGGTGCGCCGAATGTTGGATGGGCAAACTCTCGATCGCGCAGCGTTTCGACCTGATTGCCTCCAGCCAACTGTTCCCGACATGCAAGGGCTCGATCTACAAGATGGCGATGCGCTCGCTGTGTGCTCCTGCACGGGCTTTTGCTGCTCTCACTGCCGCTTATCGTCGCTCTGCCGTTGCTGGTCGTCTGGCGCTAGAGATCAACAACCACTCAGTACCAGCAGCACGCGATGCTGGGAAAGGTCGTGGCGTGACCTCGGGACGTGGCAAGTCCCATGGAAAAGAGCGCTCGGTCAAATCGAAGTCACCCCAGCAAGCCTTCCTCACCGAGCTCCAAAACAACATCTACTTCGACTCCTTCGACAAGACCTTCCTGGAGCGCCTGAAGGCTTGGTTCCCGCTGATTGGACTGCGCTCTCATGATCGGCCCTTTCACCAGCCTGCTGCCACAGGTCACGACCCGTCCACAACGAGCGCCACGACGAACGCCGAAGCCCCCCTCGTCTACATGAACGAGCGCGCCGAGGCTTGGGCTGCCCGCTGGTTGCCTAGCATCTTCATGGACATAAGCTTCAACGATTTCACCGACTGGATGGAGCGGTGCGTGCCGTACCTCGCGGGAGTCCTGCGGCGTCTTCAGTTCGACGCGATTCTTGCCCTCGGCGACTTGGCTGGCGACGCACAAAAGAGGCATCGCACCGCCATCGACATCTGCGAGACGAGCTGGCACAAGTCCGCCTGTGCGCGGAGCCGTCGAGTTGCTCTATGCGCCGCCGCTCATCCCTCTGCAGCTGTCCAACGCGAGCGTGATGAAGAAGCCGCTGAGCATCGTGCCCGACGTCGCTGGCTGACTGCTGATGGTCCCGTTCGCGACGAAGATCGCTGGCTGCCTGAAGATACCGCGCAGGGCGGAGAGGGACTACAGCCGTCCGGTATGATCGAAATTGACGCCCTGCCTGTGTAGCTGACCGCGCAGTGGGCCACACTTCGTCGCCACCGTGCCCGCGAACCTCCGCCAAAGTTGTGGCCCACGCTCAAGACGCTGTCGGGAGCCTGGACCACCAGCTACCGCATGCACGTCAACCCGTACAAGTTTCAGTGCCTGCTTGGCTGCCCGTGCAGCGAGAGCAAGCGCAACATAGACAACATCTCACACTACCTCACATGCCCGTGACTGTGGTCGCATCTGTGCCAGCCTCAAGGCGTGGTGTCCGCCCACCTTCTCACCCGCGTGGGCTTCAATGGCGACATCTACGACGGCGAAAACGACATCAGGCACGCCATCGCGCGCATGGCGGTCGCCTTCAAGACATACACCTCCTCCGCATCCAGCACAGCCAGATCGCCTGCGCCCCCTGCTCAGCCAACGAGCTCAGGGTTGTGGACAACGACATCGTCCCGTACAACAAGAACGCCGCGGCCGTGGCCGCCTCGCGTCGCGCCCCGAGGCCCCCGTCTTGCCTCGTGGGCGGCGCCGGGCCGCGCGGGCGCCCGTGGCAAGCAGGATGAAAGCTCTCTCAGGGGGTCGTTCGCTCCTCCTCCTCCTCCTCCTCCTCCTCCTCCTCCTCCTCCCCCTCCCCCTCCCCCTCCTTCCCCTCATCATCCCCCTCCTCATTCCCGCCCCCCTCCTCCTCCTCCTTCTCCTCCTCCTCCTCGTCCTCCTCCCCCACTTCCTCCCCCTCCTCCTCCTCCTCCTTGTCCTCCTGCTCCCGGGTGCGTTCGCGCAAACGGTGGTCAGCCGGAGCGCCGGATTTTGCAGGATGCTGCAAAGCCATAGGCGCACTGACCGGGGCTTGCGTGCAGGATCTCGCAGGATCGCGCAGGATTCAGCACGGCCCGACGGACCCGGGTTTCGTCTGACCCGGGTGAGTAGATGTGTGGACGACGATCAGTGGAGAGGAAGCATGTTGCTAAGTAAGTTCCAGATGTCAGAAACATTTTTTTCTGTTGTGAAAAAGTCCTACACGCGTGGGAAAAAAAACATACTTGAAACATTCTCAAACACATGAACCACCATCTTTATTCAATGGTAGGATTGTTATCAGAACAGGAAGAAACACACAAACACAAAGTGTTTTATTGGTTTTACGCCGGAAGGGGGCGTCGTTGAGAGGGTGCCTGGCACGGATGCGGGGATCGGTGTGGCGTCGGTCTTTGGATCTAGCGGTTTGCGTGGCAAGTGCGTTTAGCTGGTCGCATGTGTTCGGAACGCGTGAGGGGTGGAAAAGGCCGCTCACCAGCAACTGGCAGTCCTCTGCCCGCGGGCCAGAACAAATCGTCGCGCAACGGGGCGTGGGAAAGGGGGTTGGGAAGAGAGCGCGAGTCTCATTCCCAAGAAGTCCCTTCGATTTGCAGCAAACAATTATTTTTCTTTTTATCCGCCGCCCGGCCAACCGAATGAACGAACAACTGTCTCGGCGCGCAGCGTTAGCTTCGCTCGCGCGCATCCTGGTTCCCTTCCGTTGCTTCCCTCCCTTTTTTCTCGCCCTCCTCTTCTTTTTCCTCTTCCCCTGCTTTGTCTTGTCCCGCCCTCCCTTCCTTTCCAGCTCGGAGCTGTCACCGCGCGCGAAGAGCGCAACCCAAAGGGCGTTGCTGTAATTCCTTTGTGTGCCACGAAGTCTCGCGTAATTCCTTTGTGTACGGTCTGGTTATACTGCCAACGCGGGAGGCACACAAAGGAATTTCCTTTGTGTACGATCGTTTTCGCCGCCCCCCAAGAGCACGCACGATTCTTTTGTGTAGAGCTTGCTTTCCCACCTCGAGGAGCGCACGGGGCCTGGCGCTACAATCGCAAGGCCGCGGCGCCTGGCAGTGCGATGCAGCTGCGCCGGATACCACGCCCAAAACGATCCTGCGTGGATTTCGGCTCTTCTGCCGAAGCCGCACTGGCAGGTGGCCAGCCACATCGCCGGCCCTGCACGCCCGCGCGCGCTACTGCGTTCTGTTGCCGCGACGCGTGCTCGTGTCAACGGATGAACAAACTGACTTTGCACGGTGGTTTGGCTGTGCCAAACGACCATGGAATGTTTGTTGGTAGCGGATATTTGGGTCTTGTCGCCGCCGACAGCCTTGCCACACCAGACATGTCAATTGCATCCTAGAGCGCGGCCGTGCATCAACCCTGGTTCGGATCGCCTGGGATCCAGTCGCATGTATGCACATGCGTTGCACCGTTGGTGGTGCCAAAACCGTTTGTGTGAGATTCCCTTTTTTTTTGTTTTTTTTTCTCTCTCTCTCTCTCTCTCTCTCTCTCGGGCTCCTATGTTAGGGTGTCCATTGTCATTGCGCCCATAAGAGTATATCCCCGATTCAGGGTTCCTCTCCTCCAGGACCCGCTCCTTTCACGCTTGCTCGCCCCATATAGTTTGCCCGAACTCGGATTCGCCGCCGCTTTCTCACATCTTTGGCACACAGTTCAGACTGGGCTCCATCATTGTTCTTGACAACCCTGTCAGGCAAACACGAGAGAGCCCCCAAACTCGAGTTATCCCCGCGAGCGACCGGGCGATGAGCTCCAGAGCGGGACTCGTGCGGAGGACGGCGGTAGCAGCAGAGGAGCGCGACGTAAGGATGGCGGCGCGTTCTGGACAGCCCAGGCACTCTGGCTGTCCCGCGCGGCCAGGGACGAACGGCCAAGTACGAATGGCCCGGTGCAGCTGGAAACCCCGGGGACTCCCAGAGCGCACCCTGAGCTATGCGCACCAGGACGGGGCTACGACGAGGATGAAACCGTTCCAGAGCGAACCGGAACGCTCTCAGAACGTTCCGGAACGCTCTGAGAAGGCCGCGGCGCCCGAGACATCCTCCAGAGCCGCCGCATCTCAGAGATTCTTGATCTATCCGTGCCCGATGTTATCTTCGTCCTGGCTTCGTCTGAGACCCCCAGAGCTTTATGAGTTCCCGGCCAGCTACACCGGTAGCCCCTCCAGAGGAGCGCAAAGTATCCCATGTGGTTCGAGAAAAGTACCGCGCCAAAGTACAGGTGTGAACAGTGCGCCTCGCAAAAGTACGAGTGTGAAATTTCAGAACATCCGAAGTATGAGGAAAATATGCACTGAATGTATGAGTCTCGCATGGGGAATCTGGGATAGTATACCTGAAGGTAAAAGAAAGTACAATTCCAAAATGCAACTATGAACAACTGTGAAAAAGTACCAAACCGAAGTACAAGTGTGAAACACGTATACAACAAGTACTCGGTTCGTATATTTTTCCACTTTGGATCTGGGTTCGTACTTGTTTCATATTTTCTGTATGTTTTCACACGTTTGATCTAGGTTTTAATTGTTTTCGTATTTTCATATTTGCATGATGATTTCATACTTTGGATCTGGGGCCGTTCTGATTTAACACTGTTTGCACACTTGTTTCATACATCGGATCCCAGTTCGTATGTTTTTCACACTCGTACTTTCAGTTGGTACACAATTCACACTCGTGTTTCCACCTTGTACATGTTTCATACTCGTACCTCCACATTGTATATGTTTCACAGTGAGTTGGTGCGATCGTACGTTTCTTGCCATTTCGGCTTGTATGTTTTCCACACTCGTACTTTCGTTACTTGCGAATGCCGCGTTTCACCTATACTTACTTAGACCATACTTTGCCGAAATCCAGCGGTCTCCCAGTCTGCCTGGCTTCGGAAGTCATAGCCGCGGAGCGCAGCCTGGGCCAGCCGCACCATGGCGGCATTCCCACCCCAACCACGCGCAGGGTGCCCGAGGTTTGGGGCCGCGCCCGCGTCCGCTCCGTCCCGGCGAGCAGCTGCAGCAGCTGCCCCCCTCCCCGCTGCCCACTCCCCCTCCTCCTCCGCCTCCTCCTCCTCCTCCTCCTTCTTCCGTGTTGGCCCGGCACTTGCCGGTCTGCGTGTTGGCGGACGCTTTGCGCCATACCTGCGCTTCCGGTCCGCGTGTCGAGCTCCGTGCTGAGACGCTACGTGTTGCGTGTTGTGTATCGGGGCATCTTGAGGTAACGAGGGGTCTACGGCCGAACACGTAAGTCACTGTCGTCGGCGGCGGCGGCGGCGGCTGGGCGCCCCCAGGAGGGAACGCCGCAGGTTCGCGGCGGCCGCCCCGCAGCCGCGGTAGGGCGCTCCAGGTCGCCCGCCTGTCCCTCGCCTCGGCTTCCGGGGTCGAGGCCCGCATGTCGGCCACGCCCGCAGGGCAGACGCGGTGTCCAGTCGGGGCCCTGAAGAAGGAGCCCTTTTCGTTGGGGAGGGGCTCCGCGTTCCTTAAGGGTTTCGCAGCTTGCCTTAGGCTGTCCTTAGGTTTTCGATGGGAAATCGAAGTTTACCTCATGGAGAAAAGGGGCCTCGTTCCTTATTTAGGGTTCCTTAGGTCAACGCCCCGACTGTACAGCTGGAGTCTTCACCCGTCGACGAAGAAGGAACGCCACAAACATAAACTGTTGGCGCTCCGCGCGGGTCTCTTGGAGCCGCGCTGGGGCCCCCCCTTGGCGGCGCCTCCGGCGCCGCCCCTGGCGCGCTCCGCGCGCCGGGGCGGGGGGCCCGGCACGTGTCCAAGAAATCCGCGCGGAGTGCCACAAGCTTATGCTTATGTCGGTTTTTCTTTTTCCAGTCTTGGTCTTTGCGGCATTGCCCTTCCCACAAAAAAGGAGACGAAAAGGGTGAGGCCGGCCGTTGGTCGGGTCATCCTCGGTAGCAAATCGTGGGAGGCTCGTGTTCCCTAGCAATTCCTTTTCAGCGTCGACTGGCGTCTGGTAATCGATGATATAGCGCCGACTCAGCGTCGATTACTTCGATCAGCGTGGATTTCGCGTCGACCAGCGTCGATTAGCGTCGATGCGCGAGAGCCGACAAGACGGTACTGGAGGCTCCCATGAGTTGCCACCGAAGGTCGTTGCTTGGACCTGGCCAGGCCCCAGTGCACGGAAAGGTTGAGGCGGGCAGTTGGCTCCCGCCACGCGGCCCACGGCGATGCCAGCCAGGAGTCTTTGCTGCCCTGGCGGCAGCACGATTCTGCTGCCGCCGGCCCACCTCTGTGCTTCCGGCCTCCTGTCTCCAATTCACCAGGCCGTTGCATGTCAGACCCGCCAGAGTCTCGAGTCGAGCGTTCTGCTCAAGCATTTTCGCCTTCTCTCCAAGTGCAGTCTGCTCTAAGTGCCCGCCCATTTTTCGAGAGGATGCTGTGAACTGCTGCGGTTTTGGGCTGGGCCTCCTCATCAGAGGACGAGGCGAGGCGTGGCCCACACCGCATCAGACGTGTGCCGGAAGTCCCGCGGTGTCTGCTGCCGAGGCTGCCAGGCTCGCTGCCGCGCCCCGCTCCAGTTCTCCGTGTCGGCGCCGGGTGCGCTCGCAGCGGCCGTCGGCACACGGCGACTCTCGAAAAGTGCGTGTTCCGCGCGCCCCCGTCGCTCGTTTGGGATCCGCCAAGCATCACCGAGCGCGTTCCACTACTCGCAGAGTACCTACGCGCAAACGTTAGAAAACAACACCCACGTTCGCCTCGATGTAATAAATTGTAGATCACCCACGGCGGATCCAAGCCATTTGTGAGTAGTGACTCTGCGAGTACTGGAACGCGCTTGCCTAGCCAAGCAGGGTCCATCCTTAAGTCGGGCGTGTCCCTCTACAGGAGGCATATTGAAAAACAGTCCGGAGATAGTCTGGGAACGAGTTTTCGAGTATCTTTGACAACTTTTGAGCATTTGTGTTTGGTATCTTTTATGTTTCGCCCAAAATCCGCCCGTCGGGGGAAACGCCCGACCTAAGTCCATCCCAATTCGATCGATCCGAGTCGACATCGGTTCCGACGCGCCAGATCCCGACTCGGCAACGCTTATGCCGACGATGCGAGGCGGCCCGACCCGACGTTCGCACGACGTTGTTCGGGCATAGCCAGGACCCCTAGAGCCCCTAAATTGGCCAGAATCACTAAACCATGTCTGCCGTAGCTGGTGTTTTTTCGTCTGACGGCAGTTCTGGTTAGTGGAACGGGATTGGGGGCGTCCCCCAGTACACATCACTAAACCAGGTCCCACTGAACCCAGTTCTGCCGACGCTCGAGTTGGACGATTTGTCTACGATTGCTTGTTTTTAAACATGTTGTTGAGCATTTGTTTGATCACTTCTTGTATTTGTGTTTCGTCCACCAGCCGCCTGTTGGGGGGACACGCCCGACCTGAACGTAACCATATCCGCGCCCTCGCGGTCTCGATTCCCCGAGCGCGACCCCTCGGACCCCGCGACGTTCGCAACCTTTCAACTGCATAGGTTTTTCGGTTGCTTGGGGAGCTCGCTTCCCGTTGTTCCGGTGTTTTGCGCACGGGTCGCCGCGCGGGAATCGCGTGGACAGCAGAAGCTCGAACCGCTCCAAACGCTGAAAAGCTACGCTTTTTCAGCGGCGTACCAGGGCCAACCCAGGCTTATCCGAGGAGTCATTTGAGGGTCTTCTATGAGGTTCCCAGCAGACCCGCGGTCGCACGGATGCGTTCCGCGCGGGGCAGCCGTGACAAAAAACGTCCCATACCTCCGGGACTGCGCGTCCCAGGGGCCCAGCCTGCGAGGCCGCAGGCAGGGACAACCTGACGTCGGGCCTGTCCCTCTACAGGGGGAAAATTCTTAAATTTTTCCCCCGAAATCCCGCTGTAGGGGGGGACAGGCCCGACCTATTGATAATCGTGTTTTTCGCGTACGTTTTTCGCTTCGATCCGAGCTTCCAGCTCGATGTTGATTGATCCTGCCAAGCCCGTGCCGACCTCGGACAGCCTCGCTCGTGGCTCCGATTAGCACTGTTCGGGCACGGTTGGGACGAGGATACATCGGGCCCACAGCGTTCCGGAACGCTCTGAGGAGGCCGCGGCGCCCGAGTTCGGGGGTGGCAAAGAGGGGGGTGATGACTAGGGGGGGGGATATCATGGCGTGGGCCATGATGTTTCTCCAGATTTCATGGCGCCTCTTCTTCTTTCATTACGTCCCTGGCCCGGCCTGGCCCCCCCGCTGGGCCGCGCACATGCCGTCGGTCATGACTTGCACCCCCCCCTTCTTGGACACCGCCCCCTTTTGGCCGCTCCCGACGTGCCATGTTCCAGACCCAGCAGATCCCCGAGATTCTCGATGTACCCTTTCCCGTTGTCGTCCTCGTCCTGGCCTCGTCTCAGCCGCTCCTGCGACGTCGCGGCGCCTCCCCGGTCGGGGCGCTTCCGGTGGAGCAGCGGGTGCCGCCCCGCCAACCTCTCGGACGCCTGGCGCCCTCGTCGGTCGAGAGGCTGCCCTGACTGCACGGAGTGCTACAGTCAAGTCGGGCCTGTCCCTCTACAGGGGGAATGTTCACAAGTAGTCAAGAAATAGTCTGGGGACGATTTCTTTAGAACAAAAAAATTATGTTTGAAGGTGTTTGGTGCATTTGGGGGGTATGTTTTATTTCTCGTCCAAAAAATCCGCCTGTAGGGGGACACGCCCGACCTGATGCTACAGATTGGACGAGCATTCCCGTGAGACCTCAGCGCGTCGAGGCCGTGAGACGTGAGAGTCGTGCGTGCCGGCCGTCCCTCAGCTGTGTTCTCCCCCGTGAGCTGACCTTCGGGCAGAACATCGGGCCGGGGGAAAGGGGGGGATTGGGAAAGGGGGCCCAGATGGTCTGGTACCAGAAATTTTCGGTAGCGATTTCGACGCACCCCGAATTTCGGTAGCGACCGGATCTTCGTTTGAGGGCGTTGAAATAGCGGATTTCAGAACGGTCTGATACCGGTATTGGGCGCTACATTTCGGTATTTCGGTAGCGACCGATCTCTGCGGAGCGCTACCGGAAATTTTCGGTAGCGGACCATCAGGGGGGGATTGGGAAAGGGGGGGTTACGAAATCTGCTGCATGCAGCTGGTTTCGGCCCCACCGAGGGGCCCGTTCCTCGATACAGGGCCGCCTCCGGCGCCGGGGAGGCGCCGGGAGAATCAGCTACGTGAGCTGATTCTCACCCCCCCCCTTTGCTATCCCCCCCTTTCGCCCGACCCGAGAGCAGCCCATCCACCGCATGTAGGCGTTGGTTGGCACCTGTCGGAGCACCTCCGTACCTGTGCCTTCCTGCGGCCCGCTGCGAAGGATGAGAGTGCGCACTCTTGGCATCAAGTCGGGCCTGTCCCTCTGCAGGAGGGATATCCAAAAATAGTCAAAAAATAGTCAGGGGACTATGTTTTGAGCATTTTTCGACCATTTGGGGGCATTTTTTGACTATTTTTAGTTTTTCGTCGAAGATCCCCCTGTAGGGGGACAGGCCCGACTTAATCTTAGCACCGGGTCCACTCGTAAGGCGTTTTATCGCAGGCCCGCGCTGGGCCCTGCCCAGGCTCGTGCCCGACCGCTGCAGGATCGACGCGCCCTCGGCTGGACGAGTGCCCGGCTGCACTGGATGAGTACATCTCTCCGCTGCTGTGTTTTTGGAAGCAGGTTGCCCTGCGACGTCGTGTGTGTTCCGCAGCCCCGACTGCTTGAGGTCTGGACCCCTTCCCCAGGACGGGCTTTCCATCGAGCCGTGTTCGACCGCCCTGCCTTCCAGCAGCCGAGAGGAGCCTTCGCGCCCGCCCGCCCTCCCAACGGGCGACGGATGACGGCGAGGGGGTCCTGATTCGAAGCAGAGGGCGGAGTCGGAAGCGCGGACCGAGCTTGAACCCAGCGATCCTGGCATATCGATTCCAGTGGGCCCGATCCGGTTCTGGCATGCCCACCCTCCGATGCGGCCCGATGCTCGCTTGGCGATGGTGTGCAACTGGGCGCGGCCGATCCGATTCGATCCCGACTCCGTGCCGATGCGGCCCGATCCGATGCACGTTCCGATCCGGCCTGATTCCCCAGCTCGATGCCGACTGAGTTAGCCACCCGATCGAGTCCGCGCGACTCGGCAGGGGGCCCTTCAGGGCTGGCAGGCTAGTCGCAGGCCCCAGGCCACAGCCCGTGGATCGGCGGCGCGGGAGACCTGCGACCGAGAGAGCCCAACGGATGGGGCACAGCGGCACGTCGCCGCCCATGGGTGGAGGCGAATGCAGGGAACGGAAGGAGATGACGATGAGGCAAGCAGTTGAGGGCGCCATGAGAGGTACAGGCCTCGGACAAAAAATAGCGAACACTCTTGCCAC